TTTTCACATCAACTCTGTTTTGGGAATGTTACATGCCCCAAGCTTCAGAATTTAAAAAAAAAAAAAAAAAACTACTTAAAAGGTAGAAATTTTGATTGTGTCTTGGGCCTTTGAATAATAGGGGAAAGATAAGTCATTTACGTTCAATTTTGAGAAAGTGCCAACTGTTAAGCCTTTTAAGTCTCATTTCCAACAAATTGTGAAGAATCAAATTTATGTTTGTTCACATGGTGATGATGAGCAGTGCTCCTAAATTTTGGTAGTTTTAACTTGACTTGGAAACAAATTAATAATTTCTTTATATCATTTGAGAATTACTTATAACTTTAGGGGCACTTAAAATTGTATTTGTCTTATCTGAAACTTGGATTTGAATTTTGTTTCAGATCATATGTTCTAGAATCAGTAGAAATGAGACTAAGGTGATTAATTATCCTTTTAAAAAAATATAATGTGCTTTGGATGGAAATTTTCTTCCCCAACATCAATATCAAAAGTCAACATATTATAATAACAAATGGCTGCTATACAGTCAGCATTTACTGTGTGGTGGGAATTTTTCTATGTACTATATTAATTCATTAAATTGACCCATAGACCCTGTGAGGTAGGTACTATTATAATCCTCAGTTGACAGAATGAAACTGAAATACAAGGTAGTTAATTAACTTGCTCAAGTTCATATAGCTAGTAAGTTTTAAACAGGTTACACAACAGTGTACTTTGTACTTGGTGCTTATATGATAAAATCTTTCAATTTTCAGTTTTTCCACTAGAATGTAAGCTTCAAATGGGCAGGGACTTGGTTTTTGTTCACACTAACACGGAGATCACTTTCTGGCTTATTTTAGGCCCTAGTAATTATTTCAAAGAATTTTTATGATGATTGTGATGACGGTATCATTTCACTGAGGGACATGGCCTTGGAAATGTATTAGAACTGCTTTAAATTCTACACTGTTGCTTATTGGCAATAATTTTCATTTTTTAACTTCATCCAAATTAGCTTCAACATTGTGTGCTATTTTGCATGCTTTATGTATGTTACATCTTAATAAAATAGTTTATTTAAAAACTGATAGGAGCGGTACCTTTTATTCATCTCTTTTCCTTTTTTGCCTTAAAAATGCCTTGGAGCCCCCGGGGAACATTAGGAAAAAAAGACTGCCAGAGGTCCTGCTGTGTGTTTAGCTGAGTTTGGGGGGAGAAAGTATAGAGAAGCAGCTTTACAGCTATCCTCAAAAAAGTAGTTCAGTGATAACACAATTCTTCAAGGTTTCACCCAGAAGCTTCAGTCTCCTTGGTTGTTGCAGTCATTAAAGTGAATAACATCTTATTTTGTTATTTATTTTTAGGAATTACATATCTATTCTTAGGTTGGAAACAGAACTGTGAAATTAATTTTGTAAAATAGGGCTTTGAAATCAAAGGCTTTGTAGTTAATGTTGTTAGAGAAAGAGGAACTATGCTACTTACTTCTATCCAGGAGACTCTCATTTAATTCTGAGATAAAGTATTCTCATTTTACAGTAATAAAATTGAGAGCTAGATGTTAAGTGATGTACTGAATGAATATAAGTAAGTGACAGAACTAGAATTCAGCACATATCTGACTCCAAAGGCCTTGCCTTTCATAATACTGTCATCTTTTGCCATTTTCCACTTCCTTCTTATAATTCCTGACGCTGGGGTTTTAAGTTAGTTTGTGGGAGCAATGGGATTGGAGTTTTGGATTGTGAAATAATGATGTTGGAATCGAACTGTGATATAGAGGATAATTGTTGCTTGATGGAAAAATTGAGCTGTGAAAAATCTTTGACTTTAACTTTTCATTTTATTTTTATCTTTAGTTATCTGCAGATAAAGACCCCACTCTAGACCATGTAGAATGCTTCTTTATAATGGGATTCATCAGGGCGATGGTATTTTCTTGAGCTGATTTAGTGAATTTTTCATACACTAATAGTGTTCTTTCTCTAGAGTGAAAAAAATCCATTTTTCTCTGAATTATAATTTGGGGGTGATGTGGACAGAAATAAAGACAGAGGTTTAAAAATTAATAATTATTTATTTAGCATTTTACTAACCAGAGATTTTTTCGAATCCTTATCATCCCTCCTTCCTCAAAATTTTAATCAGGTCCTTTAGTATCCTAACATTTTAGGGTTATTTACATCTTCTTTTTAAAGGGGGTGATTGTGGGAAGCTATATAGGTCTTTCAAAGTATCGATGATTTGCAATATATGATTATTCTCGTTTTATTTAGAAGTCTTAACAGGAGGAATGGAAATCTAGTTATACTTGTGGCTTCATAAATTTGTCAGTGAAAGTTGGATGCCTCCAATTTTCTTTTTAACATTGTTCATTAATGTACATACTGGGCAAAGTATTTTTACTGTTACTAAAATGTACATTTTCTCCTCTACCACAATTACCAAGGTTGTTAATGATTTTTGGGCATTAGGAAGAAGTTTCTCATTATGCATATTTATAATTTTGGATAAAAATATTTTCAGAAAAATATGAAATACTTTAATTCCAAACAAAAAAGGTTATGAAATAAACCAATACTAATTAGAATGTTTTTTAAAATGTGGAAAATAAGTTTTTAATCATATGTTCTTATTAAAAGATACGATTAAGAGTCACGTGAAATTTTAAAAGTTTGGGTTTTAAGTTATATATTGTCTCCGTACTAAGCATTCTGTGCTAAAGATATTTAGTATAGAAAAAGAGTAAAAAAAATGGTGTATTTTATTGGGGGTGGAGGGAGGAAGCCAAGGACCTTCAATAATTCTTATACTGTTCCATCCAGTAATCAATTTTAAGAAGATGGGTCCAAAAGCAAAAGACTTTACTCTTAAAATCTTGAGTGAGGCTTTCTTTCTTAAGAGTAGGTGTATTGTGTCAATTAGGTAAAAACATGGAATCTTAATAACAGAAATGAAGATATAACTTGTATTTTAGGGATGTAGGTTTAAACAAGTTGAGAGAAGAAGAGGATTTATTGTATTTATAGTATAGGTTTGGGAATATGAGTGGCAAGCCCTTTTGCAGGCTGGTCTTTGTAGAACATCAATGTAAATCCCACTGGGTGGTTTTCTGAATCATTTAATGTCACCGTGACTCTGAGAGTGGATTATCACAAGATAAAGAGACTCAAGTGATACTACAGATGTGAAAGTACACTGAGAAGTGGAAAGTGCAAAATAAGTAGATATAGATAAATTTAAAGTAGAAATCTGTTTTGCAAAGGAGGTAGTTGCCATTGAAGTAAACTAAGCAAAAAACAAATTGAAAAAAGCATTAGAAGATTCTAGTGAGGCGTTTAGGCTTCTGGAATTTCCGTGGAAAGGAAAATTAATTAGATGCCTATAGCTTTCACCATCTTGGTGGATGGTGTCATACGTTAATTAATTAACTTAAACATCTAGAATTGTTAGGATTAGTTCCAAGTGAGAGCTATGGCCTAAATGGCTTTTAATGACCCTGAATTTTCTGTTTATAGAGTAGAGCCCATGTATCCTGGGGGTATAATATCTTAGCATTCATCTACAGATGAGTAGATTTATCACTTTGGACCTAACATAACATGGAGTTGGCAAACATAAAATAGGTTGTGTACTGTTTTTCTCTAATATCCCTAAAAAGTCAACAAACCATTGCACTATTATTCAGAGTGGTGTTATTTCGTTAAAAAATCGAGGTATTAAAATTTCTTAGTTTGTTTTAAATATTCTTAAAACTAGCTAAGTCCTAGAAAAGCACAGACCATTATTTTTACTAGAGCAGATAATCAAGCTTATGAAAGAGGGGGTTTCAAAATTTGTATAGGTAATACATTAAAATAGGCTTTTTTCTTGCTGACATAACTAACATTTATTTTCTGTTTATTTTTAAGACGAGCAAAAATCAAATTAAAGTAGATCTTGTAGATGAGAATTTTACAGAATTAAGAGGAGAAATAGCAGGACCTCCAGACACACCATATGAAGGCAAGTACTTTTTTCTGTGTCAAAATATTGTGCGTATTAGAACTTGTCTGAAACATTAAATCAGAATAATCTTAAGCATCTGTAAACTATATGGAAGGTAACTTCATTTGGCCTAGGATACACAGCAATTTTTAAATAATAAATTTAGATACTTAATATAGACTGATTTTTCTTACTGAATTGTAGCTTATTTTTTTTCCCAAAAATATTAGATTGAGCAGAGCCAAGTTGCAGGTTATATAGGTTAGATTTTAACAGAATAAAACATCTGACATGTTAAGTCTCTAACAAATAAGGACTACAGACTTTCTATTACCCTTCATATGGTATCTGTAATAATCCTTGCCTTAAATGTCTGACTGATAAAATGCTTTTGTTTTTAAAGCTCCTCTCCGCTGTTTGTCATTTAGCATTTCATTTCACTCATATGTCTTCATACAGGCTATAGTCCAGATATTTATTTTCTTTATTCAGGAAAGCTTTTAATGGTCATTTGAAGACATATAAAAAAGAAAGGAGGCAGCTTTGCTGAACTTTGTGTTCACAAATTAAGTCTGTAGGTACTTTAGACCATGAGATTGTGTGGTAAGATACAGAAAGAAGCTTTTTATAGAGTCTTAATTTATTATTAGGCAAGTCTTCATTAATGAATATTATTGTAAATTGGGTTATATAGCATAACCAAGGTTCTTGCATATAATAGGCATTCAATTATTTGTTTAATAGAAAGCATATAGCAGAATATGTAACTTTTGCTTATAAGAGCTTTACATGTATTTTCTAATTTAATCCCTACAACAGATTTTACAAGGTAAGTACAGTGATCACTGTTTCATAGATGAAGAAACTTAATCTCAGAGAAATAAAGTAATTTGTCTGAGATCAAACATCTAAGTGGCATACCTGGGATTTGACCTAATAGCCTTTGACTTGAAAGCCTATGTATGCTTTTAATCACTTTCTGGAAATCATGATTGAATATTGGAGTGATGTCATGTCTACTTTGAATGGTTTTATAATTCTGTAATGATCAATTATCCCCCAAATTTTAGAAAAACCTAATAATCTTGAATATTTTTGTTTTCATCCAAATTTTTAAAGACTCTAGAATGTCTTTAGCATATTGTACCAATTTTTAAGTGATAAAATTTTATTTTTATGTTTTACAGTTCACAGAACCATTTCTAGATATCACTTAATTTTTCATATCGTTTATTGAGTACTCCTATATGCCAGGCCTGGTCTGGATGCTTTCATGGATACTGTTTCATTTAGTCCTTTGGACAATCACTAAATGTAGAGGAGACCTTTAGTTACCTTAAAAAAAAATCAATGCTTGTCTTAAGAGGAGATGTTTTATGTAATCATGTACTAGCTTCTTCTTGAAGACAGACATTAAAGTTATTTTTGTATTATTTTTAAGGTGGTTTTGATCGCATTTTTAAAAGACAGTAGAGCAGTTAGCATTATTCTAGAGCTCTCCCAGCAAATTGACTTTTATAAACAAAGTACTTCCTGAGCTAAATTAGATAGGTAAAATGTTCATTACCTTCTTAGCAACTCTTAATAAGTAGATGCATTTTTAAAAATTGGATAATTTACGCTTACTTGTAGAATAATTAAGATATAAATATACCATATTCTTTACTGGTTAGAGACAAGTTTGATCATTTTTAAGTGCTTATTTCTGCTGCTGCTGCCAAACAAGATAGTATTTTGATGAGATTAGATATAATACACTTTTTTCGTATATATTTGAAGTAGATTAACTTAAATTCTATGATTTTTATCATAAAACTATTGAAGATAAGTGTTCATTTTGTTTAGGAAACACACCATTCAAGGGCATAAACTCAGATGGTTTTTTGTTGAATTATGAACATAGGTAAATATTTTGATGACATTTATTGCAGGAATCTTGCTATTTTTTGAGTTTTTTAAATATAAACTTAAAAGCTAAGGCAAAAGTTTACATATGGACTGTTAAACAAACTGTTTATACCATCCGTCATTAATTAAGTAATAAGGCAGTCATTTGATGTAATGTTAAAAGTAATCAGATTGAGAAGTAGAATACCCATGGAAAAATTGCCATATTGCTCATGTTACTTAACTCAGTTTTCATAATTTCCTTTGCCTTAATAATTGGCAAAGGAACAATGTAGTTCTTGAGCCTTTCTTCCTAAAAGTTCTCTTAAATTTTTGAGATTGCGTTGATGGTTTAAAATTTCGCACCCCTTCGCCATTTCCCCTTTGGGTTGAGTTAAATTTAAAAATTATAAGTGTTTAATATTAAAAGCTATTCTTCAAGAAATAAATGTTATATAGTGAAAGCTATTATAATATGAATAATGTAATTATCATAATGATCACTTAGTTGTATTACCCTGATCAAATAATGCTATGGTTAATACCATAGTGGCTATATATTGAAAGTTGTCAGGTTATATCCAAGACAGAGCATATAACATGTTATATGTAGTAGAAATGAGATTTCGGAGACTGTAGAGTCCAGCATTCTTTGTGTATCTCTAGGCTCTCACACCGCTCCTAAGAGATTGTTTTGAATATTTAGGAAGGAAGAACTTTGTATGACAGATTATAGAAATGGTAATCTGGAATTTAACCAGAAAATAAAAAGAGATTCTTAGGAAGGAAAAAGAAGAGCCCATGTATTACTCAAGCCAAATTTATTATACCTATATTTGAAGCTAGCATTTATAATTCTGAACATAAACAGTTACAGTCACAAGATCTTCTCAGGTACCTTCTCTTACCTGTCTTTTTTTCTTTTGTTTTGACTACTTTTCTTTATATTTTGTTGCCATTATATTTTCTGTGATTCAGGCATCTAGTTCAATTCATGCATTAGTTACTGTGGAACTCTGTTAAAAAAGAATTAGCATGAAGAGAAGGATTGGAACCAAAAAGAGCTTGAAGGAAATGGTACCAAGTGAAATGCTTTTCTATTTCCACAGTCATCATTCATAACAATGGAGCAATTGGATTTGATAGAATCCAGAATATACGCTTGACTTTTCAAGAGCCGAGTGTATAGAATTTTGAAGTTAATAATGCTCCTAACATATAGTTTTTATTTTATTTTACTTTTTATTATGGGAAATTTCAGATATATGCAAAAGAAGAATAGTATAATGAAACCTCCAGGTACTTCTCAGCCAGCATTAATAACTATAAACTCATGGCCAGTCTTTGATCTTACCCATCCCTTGATTATTTTGAAGCAAAATCCTAGTCATAGTTTATGTAAATATTTCAGTAGCAGAGTTTCATTTGCTATGTTTTGTGATAGTATTCTGTGTTAATGGGTCATAAATTCTTAGAATTGGAAGGTCCATTAGAATTAGGATTTGAATCCAGTCTGTCACCAGTGCAAAACTTCGCCTTTCAGAGAGTATCCTGAGAGGTTGTTATCCTCCCTTTGAATTCCCCAGTTATGATTATGGGAAGCTAGATAAGTTTTTTTCAATACCTATTTAATGTTGCTAGTTGCTCAAGGTACCTTCAAAGCAAAACAGAATGTTGCCTTCTGTTTGTATGTTACTGGCTAGAATATCTACTTCGTAAAGTTTTGCATTTTGTATAAGAAATTAAAGGAAGGAGTAGTCTTTTGTCTTTATACCTATCATTGAATTTTGTTTTTAAAATTTTAGCAAGAAGTGTTGGCATTTAATTTAGGGCACAAGTTAAAAGATTGGGACTTTTTTTGCATTTGAGAGAACCACCTAGTAGAATTTTTAGTTTATGGCATAATCTCTGTCCTTTGTCTCTGTATCATATATGCCTTCATACCTTTCTGCCTTCTTTCTTTCTTCTTCTTTTCCCTGACCATATTTCTGTTATTTAGCAACTTTTAGCAGGGTGGACTAGAGGAAACAAGAGGGGATGGAAACTATGCTAGTTAATTGTCCTAATGAAATCTTTAGCATTGGATTGTCTGTAGAGTTAATATATTTATCTTCTCCAGCTCTGTTACTCACTGCTAAACCAATATAGTTGTATAAAATAGATATTCTGTATGTTTTAAAGAACCTTATTTAAAAACTAGTGCTTTCGATTATTCTTTTGGGATTCAGTTTTGAAATGAATTTGTTGTAATTGAATATAAAATAATAGATGTTTTGAAAGGTTCTATTAATGTATTTGCGTTCACATATTTGAGGTGAGCAGCACTCTTAACCTTCTGTCCCCTCCCTTTTTAGGAGGAAGATACCAACTAGAGATAAAAATACCAGAAACATATCCATTTAATCCCCCTAAGGTATTGTAATTCATTTTTGTGCATGAACTTTTAAAATATTTTATATTTCTTGGCTTATTTAGTTAATATGTATGTTTTGGCTTATTAAAGTTACAGCTTATGATTTGTAAATGTGATTTGGACAAGATTGTAGGTAATGGCAGATGGCTTGCTTCTGAAATTAGTAGGAAAGCAAGCTTACTCAAAGGCAGCCAGTAATGGCTCTACACTGGAATAGGATGTGCATCTGACAATGGCTTATATACTAGGTGTGGAAAAACTTACAGTGTTCCCAAATTTAGAGAGCCCTTTTACACATAGAGGTTCTTATTGACTCAAAGAAGTGTGTGTTTTAGGGAAGATTGTGTTCTGCGTTCATTTAACAATTATATGCCAAGGAATATAGCAATACTAAGACTATACTTCGTCTGCTTTTATTGAGCTGACATTTATAGCATGAGAAAAAAATAATGAGCAAGGAATTGCAACTGTGATGAATGTCAGAAGAGGGAATGGAATACCCTAAGATCATGTACAACAGAGGGACCCAACCAAAACTTTTTTGACTGACCACCTTTATGTCTCTATTTTTGCTACCATCAGCACCTTAGTCAAGGCATTCAACTTTATTACTTCCGTATTTTGCCCATTATTTAATCAGTCTTCCATCTTTATCGTTTCTACTCTTTCTTAGCACTGCTGTTTTACAAATCTTCATAAATGCAGTTTTGATCATGTTTCTTTTCTTTCCATTAATAAAGTCTAAACTCCTTAGCTTGGTATTTAGAACCTCCTACAACCTGACTCCAATCTTCTTTTCTACTGTAATCTTCTACCATCTCCACCCATAATGTGGGTCTCATTTTCCAGCCTAGATTATTTGTTATTTGTAGATAGTACTTATTATTCCTCACCTTTCTATCATTTTTACTTGAATCTTTGTCCCTATTATTTCAAATTCTAGTTTTCTTTCAAGGTCTAGGTAAAATATCCCTTTCTTCCCTAAGCTGTGCCCATCAAATGTTTCTCCCTCTACTCTCTCAAGAGCATTTTATACAATTTATATAGTACCAGCACAAATACGGTACTAATGCATGTATTTTGGGTATGTATCTTTCACTGTATTTTATACTCCTGAGCCAAGAACTATGTCTTATACACCTATGTATTAATTTGTAGATCCTAATAGTACAGTGTCCCTTGAGCATATGATAGCAGTCACTCAGAGAATGTCCTGGAATATATTCATTCATTCTATTGGTTGTTCCTATTTAAGAATAGACATGGTGGTGGAAGTTCCAGGGTGAATTTGGATCACCTACCAGTACGGGGTACCTATTATTCTGTTGCTTATGTACATCTATTTTCTGATAAGGATGGTTGGTTATTTCTTACTGTGGTAAAATATATATCGCATAGAATTTACGATTTTAACTATTTTTAGGTGTACAGTTCAGTGGCATTTAAATATATTCACATTGTTGTGCAACCTTCACCACCATCCATCTCTAGAATATTTTCATTTTCCCAAACTGAAACGTTAGGTGATACCTCCCTGTTACTCCCTGCTCCCAGCTTCTGGTAACCACTATTGTATTTCTGTTCCTGTGAATTTGACTACTTTGAGTACCTCACTCATATAAGTGGAATCATACAATATATTGTTATTTTGTGTCCGGCTTATTTTACTTAGCATTATGTTATTAAGGTTTATCCATGTTGTAAGCATGTATCAGAATTTCTTTGTTTTTAAGGCTGAATATACCACCTTTTGTTTATCCATTCAGCTATTGATGGCATTTTTTTTTTTTTTGATGGAAATAAGGAGGGAGGAAGGAAGAAAAGAGCTCTAGAGGGACTGCTCTCGACCACAGTATTTTTACTATTAAATAATGATAATAGTATCTGTCACTTGTTTTGTGCTAAGAATTTAATATGGCTTTCCCAAAACAGTCTTTATAACTAATAAATGAGAGAACTGAGGCTTTAGAACCTAGACTCTATATGGCTCTGACAGGCCCATGTGTTAAATCACTGGAAACTACTTCCTTGGTCCCGATAAGAAAGAGTTGAGGGCAAAATCTCTGAAACTTGAATATGACTCTACCAAGAACAATCATCCAGAGTTCAAATCTTACATTTTCCATTTAACTGCCTTTTTCATTTTAGGAAAGTTATATAATCTCTGTGCCTCAGTTTCCTCATCTTTAAAGAGTTAATCCATTTAAAGAACTATATTTCAGTAATTCTATGAACATTTTTAACATCTCTGAAATCAGGATACATATTTCAGTGAATGGCATGTCATAATTGGTAGAATTTTTTTGTTTCTTAAAGGTACATAAAATAATGGTGTCTTGAATAATTGATGGTGCCTGAGATTTATTGGAATATAATACTTAGAAGGGCCTGGCACATAGTAAGCACTTGGTAAGCGTTAACTAGCATTAACCAGTGACTACCACCCCAAGAGGCCCTTTCCAAAGTAGTCTATTGGCTTACCTTTGTAACAACATTTTAAAATACAATAGCATTGACACTTAAATTTTCTCTATAAATTGAAATTCTCATACATTGCTGGTGGAAATGTAAAATGTTGTAGCATCTTTGGAAAACAGTTTGGTCAAAATGCTAAACATAGAGTTGCCTTATGACCCAGCAATTACATTTCTAGGTATCTACCCAGTAGAAATAAAAACATTTGTCCACACAGTAACTTATACATGGATGTTCATACTAGCACTATTCATAATAGCCAAAAAATAGAGGCAACCAGAAATGTCATCAACTGGTGCATGAATAAATAAAATGTGATATATCCACACAATGGAATATCATTTAGTTATAAAAAAGAATGAAGTACCAATAAATGCTACAACGTGTATGAACCTTAAAAACTTTATGCTAAATGAAAGAAACCAGAGTTTTTCCTCTGCTTTACCTCTTATTGGGAAAGTTCAGGCTGAACATTTGGTGAACACTGCCTCTAAAGAGAACAATCACTACACTTGTGGCAGGGATTTTGCCCTCAGTAGTTCAGAGGCCCTCATGCAGACTATAGATTGTGACAAAAGGTGTGGCAGACTGGATTCATCACAAATTTACTAAGTCAAGAATTCCAGATGAAGTATTTCAGCCATCTCCTACAGATCATGAAAAGTATCCTGGGGATCCACAGAACCCTCATAAACTACATATTGTTAACCAGAATAAAAAGTACAAAAAGACATCCATATTGGAAAAAAGATACAATAAAGATGCTTAGATTAGAAAAAGCACGTACCCCTCAAATTCATAATATCCCTTCAGTGAATGCAAAACTGAAAGTGGTTAAACATTTGACAGGAATCAAGCCCCTGAGGTTGCCACAAGGACTTCCAGCAGAAGTGGGCATGTCTAACACGTGCCTCAAGAACACTGGGGATTAGTAGTGCAGTGGCATCTGAAACCTGTGGAGCAGAAAGCAGTTAAGTCCTGATGCCAGAGCAGCTTCCAATTGAAAAATGCAAATCCTTTTTACTTAAAGATAGTGAGAATGTGTTTTCATTAAAATATATTTTAAAAAAAAGAAACCAGACACAAAAGGCCTCTCATTATATGATTTCATTTTTAAGAACCATTGGAAAAGGCAAATCTGCAGAGACAGAAAGTAGATTGGTTGTTCAGGGATAAGGGAATGGCAAAGTGACTGCTCATGGTTACAGGGTTTCTCTCTTTTTTTTTTTTTATTTCAGCATATTATGAGGGTACAGATGTTTAGGTTACGTATGTTGCCCTTGCCTCCCCTCCCCCCAGGGTTTCTTTTGATGTGATAAAATAGTAAAAAATTAGATTGTGGTGGTGGTTGCACAAGTATGTGACTATACCAAAAGTTATGAAGTTGTACACTTTCGGTGGGTGACTTATGTCTCAGTTGTCTCAGTAAAGGTGTTGCCTCTGCATTGTGTAATAGCTCCAACGTAATTGCATAGTGGTGGCTCTGTTTTAGGCACTTTGACCTATTATTTCATTTAATCCTTGAAAAAACTGTTTTATTAAACTCATCCTCTCCCCCTACCCCTTTTTTTTGAGACAGGATCTCGCTTTGTTGCCCAGGCTAGAGTGCAGTGGTATCATCCATAGCTCACTGCAACCTCAAACTCTTGGGCTCAAGCGATCCTCCTCCTCCCTCAGCTTCCTGAGTTGCTATGACTATAGGTGTGTACCACCATGCCACATTCATTGTTAAATTTTTTGTAGAGACAGAGTCTCACTATTGCCCAGACTGGTCTCGAGCTCCTGGCCCTCAGGTGATCCTCCCGCCTTGGCCTCTCAAACTGCTAGGATTACAGGCATGAGCCACTGTGCCTGACCAGCCCTCCTTTTTTAATAACATGAGAAAAATAGACTCAAAATGTAAGAACTGAAGTATGTCTGATGTTTTTGCTACTGTCTCATGTTGTCCCCAAGGCCGCCACTATTCTAATTCCAGCTATTCCAATTAGGAGGTAGCTTTGAGATTTAGAAAGGTCTTCCTTTAGTAAACCCTAGTTTGTCTCCCTGTGACTTCAACCAATTTGTCATAGCTGTAATTTAATATTCTTTTAAATATGATATGCATCCCATTTATGGCATTCAGCTGTTGTGGTAAATGTTAATGAACATTCAGTAAATATGTTCTAGATATGTACTGTATTGATCTGGATTTTTACCGATTGGTAAATACAATGGAAAGAATAGGGAATATTTTTGTATATATTGCTAAATTATGTGTTCACATGTGTTTGGACTCAGGTTTAATTTTAAGTCTTGTTATGAGGTAAAAATATCAAAATTACCTGATTATATTCTCTTGTACTACTATTAATACTGGTAAAATTTGAGAAAAGATTGAAAACTTAAATTTATCTTAACATGTCAGATTTATTTCTAAAAAGAGAAAATGTATCTTTGAATCAGCTGAAAATGATGTAGAAGGAATTTGATTTAATGCATATAACCAATACTATTTCTAGAGTTAAATTGTAATATATATTCTGTTA